CTGCATCTGGAGGTGTAGATGTCTGTGATGGTGGGGAGGCTGATTCCGACAGATTTCTGTGCAGCCTTCACCACTCTCTGCAAAGCTTTTCTTTCTGCAGCTGTGCAGCCTCCATGCCACACATTGATGCTCGAGCACAGGATGCTCTCCACTGCACACCTGTAGAAGGAGGTGAGGACTGAGCTTCCCAGACCAGCTCGCCTCAGCCGTCTGAGGAAGTAGAGTCTCTGATGAGCTTTCTTGATCAGGCTGGTGGTGTTGTTGCTCCAGCTGAGGTTGTCATTCATGTGTACACCCAAGTACTTGTAGCTGGAGACCACTTCCACCGCAGATCCTCTTATGTTCAGGGGGGTGTAGGTGTTTTTGTTCCTTCTGAAGTCCACAATCATCTCCTTTGTCTTCTTCACATTGATGTGAAGGTTATTCTCTCTGCACCAGCTCTCCAGGTGTTCCACCTCTTGCCTGTAGCTGGACTCATCATTGTTTGTGATGCATCCCACCACCGCTGTATCATCTGCAAACTTTACAATGTGACAGCCTGGATGGGTAGCTGCACAATCATACGTGAGCAGAGTAAACAGGAGGGGGCTCAACACACATCCCTGAGGAGAGCCAGTGCTGAGGGTTATGGTGGAGGAGGAGAGGTTGTGGATCCTCACTAACTGTGGTCTGTTTGTTAAAAAGTCTAGTACCCAGTTGCAGATGGAGGGGCTTAGTCCTAGTGTGGATAGTTTGTCCATCAGGGTTTGGGGGATCATGGTGTTGAAGGCGGATGTGAAGTCCACAAAGAGCATACGGACGTAAGAGTTTTTCTGCTCCAGGTGGTTGAGTGCAGTGTGGACCACAGAGGAGATTGCATCCTCTGTTGATCGGTTCTCACGGTATGCGTACTGATGAGGGTCCTCGTTGATGTTGATGGTTGTTTTGATGTGAGTCATGACCAGTTTTTCGAAGCATTTAGCGACTATCGGGGTGAGGGCCACTGGCCGATAGTCATTCAGACCAGTCACTGTAGAGCTTTTTGGGACTGGGATGATGGTGGCAGTCTTCAGGCAGGTGGGAACTGTCTCCAGGGTAAGTGAGGTGTTAAAGATGTCTGCCAGCACCTCACAGAGCTGATCAGCACATTCCTTCAACACTTTTCCGGGGATGTTGTCTGGGCCAGTTGCTTTGTGCGGATTAATCCTCCTGAAGGTACTCCTTACTTCTGCTGAG